CGGCTGGACGGGGGATCGAACCAGTAACCTTCTGGTTCCAGGACGACTCCCCTAACCACTCCGCCACAGCCGCCCATAAAAACACTGCAGGATTTCTCAAACATGATGAATGAGTCAAAGCAAGGCTGTAGGCATGTTTTTTATGAGAGTATAACATTATAACACGATATAAAACTCAAAAAAGTTGATTTTACATGATATTGCTGCTTTAATATTTTGTTTCATAAATGAAAACTATAAAGTACAATTTCAGACATCTGTGCTACTTTCTGGTGAGCTGCAGCTCAGGCAGATGTTGGCAGATCACCACCAAGATTTAATCAGCTTTAATCAACTTAATCCATCATTTTCTACACCCGTTTCTTCCTTTCAGGGTCACGAGGGTCTCTGGTGCCCATATCCAGCAGTCACAGTGCAAGACTTTAAATCAACCTGCCCAGTAAATTTAATAAAATCTGTTCATAATGTTTTGATTAACATTGTACAGACAAAGAAACAAGTTAATGCTTCTGAGAACATAACTTTAGTCTGACGAGCAAACATGCATTTAGTTCTGATGAATTAGGTGTGTCTGTCTGAAACTTTCTGTTCTCTGGTGTGTTCTCATCAGGTCTTCACTACGGCAAAGAGAGTGTCCGAAGCAGCGGGGGCGGCGACCTSCACAACTTCATCTCCTCTGGCTTTGTGACGCTCAGTCGAGGTCATCAGAAAGGTAGAGCATCTTCTTTCTCTTTCTTCTACAAGAGCTGTTCTGTTTAGGTGCTGTGCAGAAGCCTGGTGAATGCTAATTCAAATGTAATGTTCCACTTCCAACACTGCTGATCAACAAGACACTSAACAAAGGTGAAATGTTTTCACTTTCAGTTTTCTTATTAAGCAGTTCACATGAACTACTGCCTCTGCATTCAGCAATTAAGCAAGCAAACACACTAACCTCCACTGGTGGGTGACGCTGGGGGAGAACTCAGAACTCTCACWATCACCCCTGCATGCCATTAGCTGGAGCTGGGGGTGCAATTTTACATAGGTACAAAACTAATTAGTATGCAGCTAAGCAAGGTGAACAATGTGTTCTTTTCTGGGGTCTTCAGTTGCAGCTGTGATGAAGACAAAATGAGTCTGACAGGCTCAAGCTGAACAGAGAAGACTTTATTGAAATTCRACCCGATTCAGTCCTGAGTTCTCTGGCAAAATGATGAGAATCCCCCCAGCTCCTGGGGTCTGTGCTCTTTATAAAGGCAAGTCAACGCCTGATTTAGACATTCCACACACRCATGTCCTATCAGAGCTGACTTAGAATTAGGGATGCACCGATATGAACATTTCAGCCGATATCGATATGCGATATAATTATTGCTGTTATGGCCGATAACCGATATTTACTGATATTACACAAACACACAAATTATATTATACATATACAGTGGTGCCTTGAGTTACAAGTTTAATTTGTTCTGAGATGGAGCTCTTAACTCAAATTACTTGTATGTGAAATCAGTGNACAGCATCGATTTTCACACCAGAGGTAAGGCTAATGTAGCTCATCCTGCCTCAACACAAAAAAGGTCTTTCAGAGGTGACCAAGTTATGAAAGAAGCGTTTGATGCTGCAGACATGCTTTTCTGTGATTTTAAAAATAAAAGTGAGATTGTGGCTGCTATAAAGACGTGCAGTTGTCCAGGATGGTTGACATTGTGTCCTTGTTTCTGCTGGACTACTCTGGTGATGAAAATGAGGTTTTGACTCTGAAAAATGACATTGGGATCAAATCCTGAGCAACAAGTGGCATGGATGGAGAGTTCTGCAGTCTGCTGTCAGAGGAAATGTATCCTAACATCAGAACAGCTGCTTTGGACTTGACAGAACTTTTTGGATCTTCCTGTGTGTCTGCTTTCTCTCACATGAAAATCATCAAGTCCAAGAACAGATCCACAATAACTGATGATCATCTGGAGACCTGCCTGTGCCTCATCCACCTCATACTGCCCACCCAGGTTCCTCCTCTCAGTGGCAACACATTACGTTCTGTTTTATTTACTTTAAAGAAGTGAGGAGTAGGGAGACGAAAAATCATGTTTTTTGATACTGAGACTGGACGAGTAGATCTCTGCAAACTGCCAACTTTAAAAGTAGCTCTTGGTTCCAAAAAAGGTTGGGCAGCCCTGATGTAGATATTACTGGTACTGGTATTGAAAAAAATCTTTTGGATCGAAACTACATTTTTGTTTGAATAAAAAGAGAACAAAATAACCTTCATACTTACGACCTCGTGCCTCAAACTATGCATTAAATGATGCATTCTGAATAACAACATTGATAGGCTATGTGAACGTCTGCATAACAAATTGATCAGAATAATTTTGGTCAGCTCTAGTAACTATGCTACTTGGTAAGCAGAGTTGAAGTTTGCTGCAAACCATTATAATATACATGTAATTTTATTTATACTTCAGATTTGAGACGTCAATCCCTTTAAGTGGCTTTCAGATAGAATGCAGTAACTCCATCTCTGCACCCTAAAACCTATTATTTCCAGTAGCATGTGCTCCCAATGGTGCTCTGCTGTGCTTCAAAAGTGTGACCATCTTCTCTTAAATCTTTACTTACAGACATTTCTCCTCCACCACCCCCAGGCTCTAGAAACACTGTTCGAGTTCTTCCTTCATCTTCAACATCTCCAACCCCCTCCTCTTCCTCAGTTCCTCATAATCCTCAGAGGAAGAGGAGGGGGTTACTGTAAATGTATTTTATTTGTCATTATATTAGAAACAGGAGCATTTGTCCCACACCGCAGAGTAGAAAAAGACTTGATTTTGAAATATTTAACTCGTGTTCTTTTATTTTGAAGGCGAAACAGTGTCATCATAGACTTAAATATCACTAGACTGAGTCCTGCCCATATTATAGAAACTGTAAAATATTAATAATAATTGGATAAATATTATTATTAATAGTTTTAATGATTTCTACATCGTCAGTCCTTTTTCTCTGCTCTGTTATCAACATGTACAGTAATGGGAAATCCAGAGTCCTGACCATTTAGCGTTAGCCGTTAGCTTCTCCAGCCGATCACACGGTCAGCTAGTTTCTGAGCTCCAGCTGTTCTATAGGACCTCCTTGAGTGTCATGCACTGCGTACCCCCTCCTCCCTCTGACTGGTTCAGAGTGTATGGGAGGTGGGAGACAGCAGCATGGGAGTGAAAAAACTCTTCAGTTAGGTAAAATGCTCTTTTAGGAATGTTGTTGTAAATATTGCTTGTCAGTGTGCATTGCATTGATTCGTTTCCCATCCAAGTCATCTCCACTTTGCCATGCTTCTCCTCCTGCATACTTTGTCCTAGAG